TTACGCAACATTTCACATTTCATTTCACAGAAAATTCATATTAATACTTTTCAAATTAACAATATAAAAGGAACAGAAAGAAATTAATTTCCAAAAGTTGAAACAACTGTATCTGAGCAATTCGATAAAACCCCCTTAATTTTAACAAAAATTGTATACATGTTTCAGGAACATGAATAAAAGTAAAAATACAAATAGATTCTAACATCACTTCCAGAGGAATCACAATTGCTCATAGTTTCAGGCGAAGGGATAGATGTAACCTCATATTCTTCAAATTCAACATCCGTGCTCCCAGATTCATCAGAACTCCAGGAAGTATCACTTGTATCCCTTAGCCGGCGGAAACTGAAAATTAACATTACATATTGTGTTATACTATCAACTAATTTTTTTTAACGATACCCGCAGTATAGGAACAGACATAAGAAATGACTGACTTTAATCATTACATCCAAAATAATTTTTCCACCTTGCTTGAACGCGTGAATTGAACGTAAGACTTACCAGTTCCCGCCTGTTGAACGCTATGTACACTTTCGCTGTCTTCATCAGTCGGTAGAGGTGATTCGGAATCCAATACGAACGTAATATGACAATTATTACGCTCGCACGAATGATCTACACCACTCCTGCTCCTTCTTCTATACAAACAATGTGGATGTTAAAATCCTATTTCCTGCGCGCTCTCCAAGTTGAAATTAAGTGCAAACAAATACTACATACCATTCGGAAAATCGGGAGAATGGGGCCGTTTTCTGAGAGCGGCGTGGTGTTGATGGGAAGCGTAGGTTGATTTGATGCCATCTTCACACAAACTATATGTGAACTGATGCACTGAGAAAAGGGACCCACTCGGTATCTTTGTTCTATAAGACTAGCAACCGACTCCCAGCATGTCGCCACGTGCAGCACACGAGCTCACGCAACAAGTCTCCACTTGTTTCCCGCCAAATGACCATGCTTGCCAACCCGCTATTCTGGTGCGGACAGGCGGGAACAAGAAAGAAACCTTATAGACAGAAACTGTCATTCCACGTACGGTGTACGAAATTTTTTACGTGTTCCACGCTAAATCTCACACTCTTTATAAAAAAATCACCATTTTTTAGCGACTTGATAATATTTTTTACGAAATATAGGATTGAAAGTAGGTGAGAAGCATGTTATCCTATTTTTTCTGATCCGACTCACTTCAAAAATATTTCCAATTATTATATTGGAAATATCCTATGCGTGCTCATGTTTAAACATTTTTCAAGCATCAATCTTTTCCTACAGAAAAAATTAACCGATACTATTAAACCTAGAAAGATGTACTTTTATCGTATGTAAATATAGCTTTTGTAAACATATTATTTAAATATTGAAGGTTCCTACACACGTATCAATTTGTCGAGCAGACAGGCCAGTCCATACGACAAATTGTAACGAGTGGAGGTGGAGGCAAGTTGTGCAACAGAAATTTTACGAATATAAAGACGAAAATTTCTAGAAATTAAATTACGGATCAAATTTGTCAGAATAGTATATCAAACACAAATTTCTTTTCGAAATTGGTAATGAAAGCGAATTTTTACAATAATTATGAGAATGCAACAAAAATAAAAGTAATTGTTTTTATGTAAAAATTGCATACACAAGAAAATCATTATTAAACGGTTTAAAAACTCCCAGCGTTGCAGTTGCAGCAACTTTTGTGATTTTTAAACGTAATACGTAGTATATACAAGAAAGTTGCAAATTTGACCGTAGAATTGTTATGTACTATACCATGCTCTTTATCAGAATTCTTCATAATTTTTTTAACTTCAATAATTAACAAATATTCAGTATTCGCTTGGACTAAATCTTTTATTTTAACTGAGTTGTATTTGTAAAAATCTTTGTCAAAAATGTTAAAACCTGATAGGATTTTTCGGTGCCGTAATAGAACACGGTTGCACATGAACTGGACACGGGAGATGAATATATAAGATGTTTTCCTCACCTGCATTTATACTCTTGACTATAAGGGTTCCATTATTACTGTGGTATTATACAGATATATTTTTTCAGCAGAAAGGGGTACTAAGCTAACAATTGTTTTACAATTAACACAATAGGATATTCAATCCCTACAATGTTTGTATTTCCACGTTAATGTTTCAAAGAACACTTAATTGGGGATGGTCCAATAGGCTGTTGGGGCACTGAAAATCATAGTTGACGGGTTACCGCCTCTGCCTTTTTATTGTTTATGTTATGAAATGCGTAAAAGAGCCTCCAGTTTTATTACTGCTGGTAATCATGTTTCCCTCTATATGTAGACGTTTTGGATTTCTGAAAGGAAAGTGGGGTAGTTCAGATTTTTATTTCGATGACACCCCTTAGGAGTGTCTCTATACAGCCCAATCAGAAACTATAGAAGATAAGAAAAGAAAAATATAGAAGAAACAATACATAATCTAACATTTCGAAAAAAGACAAATCTGATGGTTCAGAAGATGAAGATATGTGTCTATGCCTACTTTTTTTCATCTATTATACTTCATCACTATACATACATTTTTTTAAATTGTCTGATGACATGAGGTCATTGTTACACCTCCTAACTTTTAAAAAGTTGTAAGCACATTTCTTAGGTCCAGGGGCCCTAAGAAGGAGGCGTTCCCGAATTAGTTAAAAATATTCATTTTATAACGCTGGTCTAACAATGACTTCATGCCATCAACCCCAAAAAAAATCCAAGTATAGCTATCTTATTTTTGTTTGCAGGGAATTCCCAAAATATTTATCATTACAGTTGAATAAATGAGATGAAAAGCAAGTGTCGTTAACCAGTGACTATCTTTCACTGACAATATCACCAGTGATTATTATGCACCGACTACTGTGCCCACTCTTTTTAAAACAGCTTTTATTTTTAAAGTAATATTATTTCAAGTACAACAACAATAACAACAAACATTTTTTCTGTGGATCTGAAATAAATAATTTATACGATATATGACCGAATCACTGTTCTTGTCAATACAATTTTCTTTCAATGCTAAACACATGCATGCATTTCTCTTTGAACTGGTGGCCACGATGATCACCTACTCTTAGGCACACTTTCTGCAAGGTTTAGGCGTACTTTCTGAGTTTGTCAAACAACAATGTTTGCTAATACAATTCACTCTGCCTGCTGTAAGTTTCAATTTAAACTGATACCCTAGTATAATAAACATTTCACATTTATTTCACATATCTGATCACATAGATGCTGAACGTTTAGAATGTCTTCTTCAGCTATTTCTGTGCCCATAGATATCTCAGCAGCTTCTTTCACCTGTGCTTCAACCTCTTCAGACAAAATGTCAGAAAAATCAGCTTCTAAGGCATGATTTCGAATGCCTAAAATTATGAGATCACAATACAAAGAGTAGTAATGATTGATCGTTTTTTGTGAGTGTATAAATAACACCCTTCATATATTAATTTACAGAAGGTAAAGGTTATATATTAATTTTAGAAAAAGGAAATATAGTGGATATGTAGAACTCTTGCCTTGATAATTATGTGAACACACCAGAGTAGTAAACCGTTATGACTTTAATGACCATTGTTTAGAGAAATTTAATATCAGTCTAAAACTGAATTATTATTTCAAAAATTGACCACAAATAAATAACACAAAATTGCGAAAATAAAATAACTAGTAATACTCACCAATAACTTTAATGACCTTCACATACAAGACATTGTTCATGGTTCAAAATTTTACCAATTTCTGGAAAATGCACCCATATACTCTGGATTCTCATGATATAATTTTCAATTCCGTTATCCAATCATCTAGAAAGCCACTGCTCTGACAAATCAGTTGGTATCAACCTTGATCAGGGCTGAATTCCAGCTTGTACCTTGACAAGATGGAGAATACAAATGCATTGCATTACTGCACTAATACTTTACATACATTACTGCCTTAAATTAATGTATTTTCTCTCCATCAGCATTTCAACATATGTAATGTGTTATATATGTATATAAAGTAGTGACTGGAAGCCTGATCTAGACTACATGGAGGATCATTAAGTTGTACAAAGTCACAGTGTTCAAAATCTCTCATTTTCTCACAATGTTTGAAATCTTGTTTCTTCCGCACCTTAAAGAGCTTAAGGCAGACTGATTTGTAATTGAGGGCAAACCATACCAATACATGTCACAGCATGTCTGTGCACACTCTCTCCAACAATGCCGTAAAATACCGAGGTAGATAATTTATTGAACATCCCTTGTACTCATGTACATATTTAACAATCTGCTTAGTATATACATATGTGCATAAGGTAATGATATCATAGTTTTGAGTGCATTCATAATGCAATATATTGAATGGCTTTTAGTTCTGGATGTTCAATTAATATGTGAAATTATCCTTGCTTGCCTGTATGATTAGGTGCAAATAACGCAAGCAGGTTACAAATAATGTGTAATAAAGAAAGTAATATGGTAATATGTGCTGATGTAACATCACTATATTGTGAGCATCATTAGAACATTTTATATTACAGAATAGCTTTGGTCACGTCAGGATCCACTGTGAATCTCGGGTTTTCGGTTATAATTAGCTAAGTGGTTAATGGCACCTTTCTGCCAGTCCACCATTTATTAAGGATCTTAAAACACATACTGGACTTTAATTAAAAGCTCTATATTCATAAATTTAAATGACTCGGCATAGGGTCAAAGATCAATTACAAACCTTTTTTTATAAATATGCAAGAAAAAATTATGAAAAAGAATAACTTTCACAGTGTGGCAACTGATTGGTTGTAATATATAAAGTTCAGACTTTTTATTATTTTTGGTTAAAGAGTGAGCGAAGTTAGGGAATGGGAACTCCAATTTTTTAAAAAATAACATTTTTTAGTCAGTAAGCAAGCGAGGAAGACAGGGTATTTTCAGCCGAGTGCAAGGCAGAAAGATGTTGGGCAAGACCTAGTGGGCATAGAATAGATTAGAAACATATAGGTTCCGCAGCAGGGCAGGAATAAATGGAATACCTCTTCCTGCCTAATAAATTAATGTGATAATACCTCAGCAACACAGGGTACTTCAGCTTGTGAGCCATAAAAGTAAAAATGTTGGGGAAATTGTATGTACGTGGGGGTGTGTGAAGAAGCTGCAGCATACAAGGTTTTGTGATATCCCACTTGTGCAGTAAGGAACTGTAATCTAGTTTATTGCACATAACTCGAAGACCATAGAGCAGTATTTGCAAATTTTAATAATCACCAAACAATTGTTTTGCATTATTTTATGTGAGGTACATCCACATGCACTTCTATCTTCTGTTCTCCCAATCACTATGCTCTAATGGTGTTCCACACAGCTTCCAACTTGGTTTATTTCACATATTTCCCTTTCATAAAACACCTCACAACATCTCTTATTCCCTGTGGGCAAGGCCAAGGGCCATCCATTTGACAGCGGATGCATCGCATCAACTCCTGCACTGCTCAATTCGAGATACATTGCAGTTGTAATTTTTCTTTAATAGCCAATACCAACTTCAAGGGATTAGCTACCAGAAACTGCTCTGCCTTGGCAACAACATTCAACAGAAATTTCTTTAAAGACATGGATACCTAAAACACACATATGTATAAATAATCACACTGCTTTTGGAAGGGACTGCTAAAACTATTGGCCAAGACAGAAGTATTTTCAATCATTTACACTGGATACAAAACACATTTCCACAAAAGAAATAAAGTGGTTAGTATCCCTTGCCCTCAACTGCAGCTGTTGTCGGTGAAAGTGCTTCAGTTGGGTCATGAAATTCCTCAAAATGTTTGAGATAAACTCAAAAACAAATGCAACAGATATAATGATGATTCTATGGAAATAATACGAATGCGTAACTGCAGTAGCTCATACCAAAGATTTAAATAGAAAATAATCAACAAGCTATGTCCAATATTTACACATC